ACTTGAATATCATGGTTACAACGAAAAGTTTTTAACAAATTTAAATTGTATGGAATTATTCGTCTCGACTATAATAAAGGTATACAAATTATATGAGTATAAACGAAATAGTTAAATGAATAAGTAAATATATAATTTGATTATACCTCTTCAGTTAATCTTTTTATAATGATATCTCGATCTCCTCTTGTTAATATACGTGCTTCTTTATAACTGCGAAAGTGACTTTCATTAGCCAAACTGAAAGGACTTCCAAAGCGACACCCTAATCGTTCAAAAAATTCTTTCTTATCTTTTAATTGTTGTAGTAGATCGGGATCTTTCTCGGGATCTATTTGTTCATATATTTTATTTTCATGTAAATAATTTTTATTAATATCTTTTAAATGATTTGCTTTGATAATCTTTGATGTTTCTTCATCTTTAAATTTACGACCTCGACGAATACGAACTTTAACGCTACCTGCAAAAATATAATATTACAATTATATCTTCATGAATTAATCAGCGAACCTTTTGAACAAGTAAACGCATGAATGTATGTTTGTTTCTTTTTTACAAGTCGATGACCTCCGGGATCTGTTTCTTTGTTTGGTAATGATGTATCGAGAAACTTATCAATGAATTCAATAATAGCTTCACGTCCTTCAGATGTATCAATAGAAAGAAAGTTATCAAGCCAGAGTAGAGTATGTAAATGCGGAAGACCACCACGTTGAAATTCAATTTTAAAAAAATAATTTGTAACGGTATAATCGATGAAAAAAGGATGTTTTTTGTCACTGATAAATTTTTCAAATGCAAGCATTCGCTTGTGGCACATTCGTGCTACAAGCCCGCTATTTTCATTTATTAATTGTAAATAATCATCATCAGAAATATTATCAATTGCATCATAATTTGGATTATCTACATGTCCAAAGCGTATTGGATCAATATGTGTTAAAAATTCAACATCATCTTGTAAATTAATGCTTAAGAAAATATTTGGTTTAGCTAA